AATGTAAGTTACCATTAATAGTGATGATATCCAACTGATGAAACAATGTATTCTAATTGTCATACAGAGAGATGTAAGAATTGTATAGTTAATTAGATATACTGATAAGAATTTTGTAATGTAAGTTACCATTAATAGTGATGATATCCAACTGATGAAACAATGTATTCTAATTGTCATACAGAGATGTAAGAATTGTATAGTTAATTAGATGTATATATTACGTAGGAAGAAGAAATAATGGATACTTAAGTTAAGAAGCCTAGAGATCAGGGTTTCCCAATGTGATAATCGAAAATAGCCACTAGGGTAAAGTTGGCCTACGCAACTAACCGCCTTATGCCTAATAGCAACAGTGAGCGAATGACGTTTTTTTCCTTTTCTAGAATCTTCCACTGTGTACAAGTTCAAACACTAATGAAAAGTACAGATTTTCAAAATAAATTTTAATTTAATCACTTGTTTTATTTTATGATTATGAAAAATATTAATTTGGAGTTCAATGACAACTATACAAGTCCATCAAGGGGTCGACAACTCAGAAAGGTTTGAGAAACCCTGCTTTAGACAATACCAATGCTAAATTGTTACTCAAATAATAATGACCTCTGCTAATGACTCCCGCCATAGCATTCGGTGACTTGTTACGTCGTAAAAGCCACTGCCCAAGTTCCCCAACTTTCACCTCTCCAAGGGGAATTTCAGCTGTAATCAAACACAAAATTACAAATTAACACATTAAAAACTAACAGTAATACAACTGTGCTTACCCTAAAACACTAATTACATATCAATTCAGACATAAGGATAAATATATTTATGTATTGAAGGTTTACACAGATGTATCTGCATATTATATTTTAATAAGATCCATGCAAGAGTCTCCTTTAAGTTTATAGACCTACAAAGCTAAAATCTGGGGTTCAATTCCCCACATGGACACAGTGCAGATAGCCCACTGCACAGCTTTGCACTAGGAAGACAACAACCACCATGACAGATGTATTTAGGGGTGGTAACATCATGATCTCGTGTTTGATTCCTGTAGGCCTAGCTAAGAAAAATAAAAAAAAATTACCGTGTAGATATTAAATTTTTTTATTTTGTTGGAGAAAAAATGAGATACAGCTACTACGAATGTTCTTTCTTCAACCTGAAGATCACCACAAAATAACTTTATTTATAAAATCTACCATTAATTTTAAATGAATTATGCACATCAGTGCATCTGCTTTTCTAAAAATAAAAAATTTTTTCTTTGGCCAACATTTATCTAAACACAAAATCAACTAATCATGTTTATTACTTTTAATGATTGAAATCAACACATTAGTTTCCAATTATCTATAATTTGAAAACAAATTATTGCAATCATCCATTCCAAAATAAACTATCAAAGTTGCACTTAAATCAATTGCTCAGATCAGAAGTTAATGTTTATATCTTTACTACCAAAAAAAAAAAAAGATAATTTAAAAAGTATATTTGTCTATTATAAAAACACATGGAAAGTGGAAAGAAGAAAAATAAAAGCTAATTTTGCTAAAGTATTAGTAAATTAGGAAGGACACTGAATTGTTGGAAAGGGTTCAGATTAGGGCTACCAGAATGGTGCCTAGGATGGAGGGGTTGTCATAGGAGAGGTTAAGATTTCTGAAGTTGTTTTCTCTTGAAAAGAGTTGAGGTGTTTAAGATTGTTAAGAGAATTGATAACATTGATACATTATTTTTTTTCATATTTAATGGTGAGAATGGTAGGATTAGTGGACACAAATATAAATTTTGGCAGGATAAGAAATATTTTCAGCTAAGACAGTTTTATTTTTCTAACAGGGTGGTTGGCCTTTGGAATGAGTTGCTTTCTGGTATTTTCTCTTTAATAATTTTAGTTTAGAGGATGGGACAGCCTAGATGGACAAATAGGTCTCTTGTTGTCCCTAAACATTACGTTATGTTATATTTTTGCAAAAGCAGCTCAAAAACAATTACTTGGATAGTTGGAATAATTAAAACTAATAATAAGTAGAAACCCTAATTTTGATTAGTTATTGTTGATACATTAATTATTTTAATCATAATTTCAGTTACTGAATAGTTAGAAAAAAAAACAGTAATAAGAAAAACTAATTTAGGTTAATCGATTCTTTTAGGACAAATTTTAAAAGCTCTGATTGAGGGCATAGAAAAAGTTTGTGATTTATTTGAAAGAATATTTACTCCCAAATTTACTTCTGGGAAGGCCGAAATCTCTCCAAATATTTTCACAGGAGAAGGGTTTGAATGGATGTTATCAAGTTGTTGAGATTGGAATTCGAAAAGATATGAGAAACTCAGACATGACTCTACTTAATACAGTTATTTGTCTGAGTAACAGTGTGGCCAAACTATTGAAAAAGTAACTTTTAAGAGTAGATTGGATGAGTATTTTAGTTTTCAGTGATCTGGGTTGAGCATAAAGAAAAGGTATTTTTGTACGAGCTGCCATTAGCAATAGTAGAGGCCAGTGTTACAATAATTTTTCACATGGACAAGTGTGCAAGGACAGTCTCGAAGGACGAAGGGTTTCTTGTCGTACATGGGATATGTTACGGAATAAAGACAGAAAGGAATAGCTTAGAAATAGAATCGACAAGTTGGTAATGATACATTGTGCTACGAGTACAACTCAATCAGGGTAGTCTTTAAACTAGCCTGCCTAGTCCTCAGATTATACAGTGCCAGAAATGTAATTGTTACTACACATTAACAAGAGTTAAGATAATAATGTATCCAATACTGCAATTAAAATCACTGTTACCTTTGCCATAATATCTTGCTGGATCATAAGGTCCATGAACCTTAGGGTTGTATTCTGCTGGATAATCTCCAAAACCCATTTCTATCTTATAAGTTTATAGATTATCCAAAAACTACTTCGTCCCACAAGGTTAGAAAAGCTCCCTCTGTAAAAATATAAGTGGTATAGAAATATGTTTGTAGCGGAAAATATTTCAAAGACCAGAAAAATGAAAAAAGGCCCCCTCTTTGAACGTATAAAATTTAATAGCCAATTATAATTTCAAAGAATATTTTTAATTTACATTTAGTTGATTTTTTAAGAATGGTAGCGTAGGACTTGCGATTATAAATTCATTTTGAAACCAAAGTGATAAATTATTTTGTACGTACCGAATCATCAACGTAAAATCAATTATACTAAAAAATTAAACAATAACTTTGAGCTGAAACTTCTTAAAGCATTCTTTAAAAAAATGGTGCAATAAATTTGACGTTTAAAAGTTTGAAGACGGCTTGACTGGGTAATGAAGAAGACAATATTATAAATGTACGACGTTTCGACAAGATTATGTAATCCTCAGTCAAGCTTCTCCAAACTTTTATTTTCTAAAAAAATGAATTCCTCGTCATCAAATTTGTCATTTAAAATCTTGCTTGCCTGTTTAACTCTTAGATCTTCCTTTCCTTAAAGAAAACACATGTACAACTTATGTGTTGAGATTTAAGTATGTTATTTTTTATGAGAAATTTAATAGTCAAGATACATTTCTGTGGGTACCTGTGAATAGATATTTATTAAGAAATTTAAACTACATTCAGGTTAACTAACATAATATCATACTAATAAAAGGTAAGGAAATGTTCAAAATGATTACTTTTTTTTTACATTTTATTCGTTTGAAACAAGCTTCACAGATAGCGCCACATCCGAATTTAACACTTCACTTCAGCTCCATAATTTTTGTATAGCTGTTACGGCTTAACTTAGTTTATTACTTCCAGCTGCCCACAATTAAAATGACCATGTGTATATGGTATTAAGGTACACTGATGTACAGTAGAAAATTCAAGAGTTCCCGAAAGCAAAAAATAAATTGATCACGAACAGTTTGTTTATTTGTTTTGAATTTCGCGCAAAGCTACACGAGGGCTATCTGCGATAGCCGTTCCTAATTTAGCAGTGTAAAACTAGAGGGAAGGCCGCTAGTTATCACCACCCACCGCCAACTCTTGAGATACTCTTTTACCAACGAATAGTGGGATTGACCATCACATTATAACGCCCCCACGGCTGAAAGGGCGAGCATGTTTGGTGTAACGGGGATTCGAACCCACGACCTTCAGATTGGGAATTGAGTACCTTAACCACCTGGCTATGTCGGGCCGTCACGGACCGTGGAGGAAAACAAGTGTAATTTTAAACATTTTTTTTTTTGATTTAACCAATATTGTGATATCAAAACTGGCTGTGTCGTCTGACTGCTGGGATCAAAGGCAGGAGAACAAGAGCAAAAAACACTAACCTTGGAAACACCCGACTTAAACACTCTGGTAAAACAAAAAAAGTCGTGTATTTCACAAGTTACATACTTCAACAAATGGTCTGCATACAATTTTAAGTTACCCCAAACCAGCATACAGAAGTTTCTGTAAGTACACATTAGCTTGAGACTTAAAGATAAAGGTTTACCTGAGTAAGAGTTTACGACCTTTAAACATCCAACCAACGAGAATGTAATAACCACACGCAGAAACTGCAAGGAAGTTTAGAAAAAAATACTACGTGGATAACCAAAGTAAAGATATATAGTTTATACTAGTTATGGAATCCTGAAATACATGACCATTTTAGTCTCACGTGCAAGGAATAGGTGGGAAGACATAAAGGTAAGTGTTAGGTTTAGTGATAGTTACAGCAACCACACACACACACACAGACTTTTAACTACTAACTTAATAATACTGATGTTGTTTTTTAATCATGTTATTTTATATACATAAAATATTAATTTTTCTCATTGCTCTGCTATTTCATTCATACCGAATCTATAGCTAAACAGTAGTTTATGCCAACTGTACCCATTTATCTCAGATATTAGGCTAATCTAAAGTTACACTGTTGAAGTTAATTAATGGGCTTTCATTGATCATTAGTCGTTGTTATGGAAAATAGTATAAAGTTTTGTGTATGCTGGTGTCATGCTTTTCAAGGGATTGTGCGTGAAACAAACTTCTAGTTTGCATGTTTTTAACTTATATTATTTTATATTCTGTTTCATTAACAATAATAGTTAAAATGTTGATATACATATGTATAACTTATCATATATATATATTATTCTTTTACGCTTATGTATATTATTTTGCATTGTTTACTTAGCATAAGGATTTACACTAACCTAAACTTCAAAGTTGACCTTCCTGGGATATTTTTGGGACTATGGCCGAAAATATCGATAACAGCTCGAGTACCTAACTAATTAATTAATGCATTCCAATCATTGCGATTTTTTGTTTCATGACAAAACGCACTTCTAGTTAGACCGATATATTATATTAGTTACATTATTTATTAAATTAATTATTTGTTTTAATTTATGTAGGCATTCTGCTTTGATCATAAGTTTATTGATAAGCTTCTTGACTGGCGATAGGCGCCAAACACCACAATCTAAAAAAATATATTAAGTTAATTCTAACTTATAAATTTAACATATCAAACGAAAGCAGATATCTCTGAACATTTTGGTGTAGTCTCGGGGGATCGCGACCCTCTCACTTCCTGTGCAGGGGGATCACGACCCATCATTTCAAAATCAGGTTATTTCCCATGTTACTTTCCTTTACATTCAAATAAGGATTGATGAGATTGTAATCATCTTTCTTATATGGAACCTTTACAAACAAAAATATAAAGTTTCTTTATCATTAGTTGAAAACTTTCTGACCTTAGTATACTACTACTTTCCAGAAATAAACATCAAGTAATACATTTCCGAATTTCTAATTAATTAGCAAACACGGTAGTTATATTAAATGCTGTTTGATACTTAGCTGTTCTATTAGAGAGAGAAGCCAAGGGTTACGTGGCGACCCCTCACTTCTAAATTTAGCACTACATCACTGGCAATATTTCCATAATGGGTATTTTTCTGTGTAGTATATGTACTAAGACACAAATACATTTTTTACAAATAATATTTAAATACAGTATTACTCCGTTTGGCGCTCAGGAAGGGTTCCTGAGAACATAGTTCTAAACGAATCGGCTCCAAAGAGGGTCATTTTAACATTACATATATGGACATACCTAACTGTTTCACACCCGTGAATGATGTATAAGTGTCGTATTTAGGTACTGGTAAATTTAACGTAAATTACTCATTATAATATCATCATCGCTGGAAAAAATCTAAATTTTTTATTAGCCTTCAATCTTTTTTGGGTTAAAGAGCCATCGGATAGAATGTCAGACCCCTCCTGCCACGTCCACCTGTCACGTCCTCTCTTTCAGGATTTGTCAATACATGTAGTTATCTCTTACGTTATAACGAATAGACAAAATTAAGTAATAGGTTAAACAATCGCCAAGTTTTTTTTTATACTTTTTATTTTTATTTAAAGAGGGGTGGTATTTCGAGCTAACGCTCCTCGTCAGCTCCAAACGTCATCCTTCTTTAAATAATAATATAAAAAAAAAACCTGGCGATTGTTCAATCTATTATTTAATTTTGTTTATTTCGTCGCCTATGGGTTTTAACTCCATTTGTTGTTTTTTTTATATAACCAATAAACAGGCAAGGTTTTCGTCTACCAAATGACGTATTATATTACTTTGTTTTCCCTGCAAAGATTGTAGATGTTTCCTAAGAAAATGTTTTTTTTTTTTTCAAGGGAACGATATTGTGTAGATGGAAGACGTTTTAACAGTTCATACTAGAAACGCCAGAAAAACTGTGATAGTTGTGGGACACTGTCTGCTTTTTTGCATGTTATTATTCCACGTTCTTTGTTGCATTATTGTATTGAATAAAAATTATTTAGTGTACTACTACCATTAGTATGAAAAAGTCGTGTTCAAAGAGTTATAGATTTTCTTTTTTTTCTCTCTCTCATGGAAAAAAAAAATTGTCTCTCAAGGGGACAAGAGCTCTATAACCAATCAAATTAAAGCGGGGCGGCGTGTCAGATATAAAAGACTGTTTAGTGTACCTAGTTTTATTAATTAATTAATTTTGTGTTTGTAATTCATTGATAGAGGCTATAGACATTTCTAAAAACCCTAAGTGATAGACGTAAACATAACGGTGATCAGATGAGCGAAAAGAGAATGAAAAAGTAAAGTCACACGAAAGAGAAGATCGATCAGAGAAAAATTAAACATCGTGGGAGTGAAAGGTCTAACAGTTGATATATTTGAGTGAGATTAACAATTTTGAAAGAGATAAAGAGAATAAGTTGCCTCGTCAAAGGGTGTTCTACAGTAATTGAACCCGCCTCAGTGGACATTGACAATAGGCAGAAGATTATTGGAAGTACAGGATACAACCTGATAGAAATAGAGAGAAAAATAGATAGGCTTGTCAACTGAATTCTAAAGCAATTGAATTGGCCTAAGTCTGCTTTTGACAAAAAGAGGAGAACTGTATAGCATTTAAGATACAACTATGATATACATAGTGTAATGAATTATGTACATACGTTCAACTTGTTTCTAATATATATATATTACTTTTAAAACAAGTGGAGTGCGTGCTGTTCGTTTATTGTTGAATTTATCGCCAACAAATTACAGACACCTACTATAGAAGAATCCTCATCCCAAAACATCCATATATTTAACTTACTATATATACTATTAAGAACTAAGTTCCTGACATCTTTATTTCATAATTTATTAAATCTGAGATAGATTTGGGTTTTTAAAACGTCTGACAAACTAAGTTGGAGCTACTTGGATTATATTTATTATTTGTTTGTTTTTGAATTTCGAGCAAAGTTACACAAGGGTTATCTGCGCTAGCCGTCCATAATTTAGTAGTATAAGACTAGAGGGAAGGTAGCTAGTAATCACCACCTACTGCCAACTCTTGGGCTACTCTTTTTACCAACGAATAGTGGGATAGACCGCACATTATAACGCTCCCACGGCTGAAAGGGCGAGCATGTTTGGTGG